CCTCTTCTTCTCCTTTTTCTCATCCTCCTCCTCTACCACCACCAACTCCTCCTCCTCCTCTCCTCCTCTTCTTCTTTTCTTTCTCTTTCTCCTCCTCCTTCTCCTCCTCCTTCTACTCCTCCTCCTCTTCTTCTCCTTTTTCTCATCCTCCTCCTCTACCACCACCAACTCCTCCTCCTCCTCTCCTCCTCTTCTTCTTTTCTTTCTCTTTCTCCTCCTCCTCCTCCTCCTCTCCTCCTTCTTTTTAAAAATCTCTTCACCCCCTGAAATAGATATCCTCAGCACCCCGCCCAGCAGTTACCATGAAATGCAAACCTCCACACACAAAGTTGTTCGTTTGCGACAAACGTAGAGAGAAGGAAGCCAGCCCTCTTTTGTTAGCCTGTATTTGCTTGTGACATTTAATGTGCTGGCCATAATTGCTTGTTTATCCCTTGAATGGGCCGTTCAGTACACTGTGTTCCTTCCTCCGGACACCCCCTAATTCCCCACCCCTAGTACGGCAGCCACAACTTACCTTGGCTCTGCTTGGGCTGCCCATTCGCTCTGATTTATGGCCCCGAGCAGCACAGTCTTCTCTTCCCACACATCCTCAGCCAGACGGGTGTCCAGAGAGTTTTCTGAACCCTCCGTCAAAGCATTGCCCAATCGGGGATGGCCTTGGGCCACGATCCCACTTAGGCTGCCGTTGCTTAACCTTGCCATGGGGGCTGAAGAGTGAGGGATTTCATTAGCCACATTCCTATTAGCCAGAGGACAAATTAGCTCCAGAACATTGAGATGCTACAGAACTTGCAGCTATTTTTGTAGTGGACACCTGCACAGTTTTCACCTGTGGAAAGTGAGGCCATCCTGTCCCCTCCATCTGCGTCAACCTCCTACATTACTAACCATCGTTCTTCAAAGGATCGTGGGACTCGCCCGCCAAATTACAAATAAAATCTCCAGTGTGATATCCAGATTCCAAAATTGTGTCATTGTGTCAGTAACTGGGCTGGGAAGAGCCTTCCTCGGTTCTCTGATGACGAGAGGAAAAGTGATGAAGAAGGGGCTGTGGCCAGATGGGAAATCCACCTTGAGCTGCATCTCCTCCAGAACCAGAGGCTTCCTGTTCTGACCTGTGCTTCCCCCCAAAAACACGAGGCAGAGTTCCTAGTCCCGACAAAACCCCTTTTTGTTAAACGAATGGGAATTCCTCTCATTCACATTCAGGCAAAGGCCTGGCAAACAGTCTTTCAAAGGTGAATTTATGAGCACAGACCTTATCTATCCTGGAAAGCTGCCATGTCAATATTTTCCAAACGCAGAGCTGTGCAGGGAAAGACTTGACACAGAGTCTCTGAGATTCACGGATGGATCTTCACACCCCTGAAATGAACGAATGAATAAATTGTTTCCTACAAAAGCCCCCTCCCCTTTTGCTCCTCTTTTATTTCCTCTGGGAGGGGCCATTCACCGTCCACCTGCGGCTTTACTCCCAAGTTGACCCTGAATTCTTAGCTGCTCTTGTCTTCTGGCAACTCTGTGCATACGCACACTGGGAACAGGCTCCAGCTGTTCCTCTGCCTCACTGATGTCTGACTCTGAAGGCAGCTGATAACTGGCATACGTCCCTGGAAGCCTCCTGAAGACTCCGGAGGGCGAAAAATGGCCCTACGAGCAAACCGGAAGTCCGTTCCTGAACTTCTGGTTTGCCCGTAGGGCCGGTTTTTCGCGCACAATGCAATCAATCATGGATGCAACAGTTCTTCCTTCTGCAAATTACATCTCTGGGGATGTACCCAAAGGGTGCACACAGCTGGGAGGTTCTCCTCTGTTTCCCCACCCGCACTCCTTTCTCTTTCATTGTTTTTCCATAACACGAGGCCAAAGTTGCCTTTTTCTCGCCAAGCCGGATCCTCGGTGTCTATTTTTGCACAGTGTTGCTTCA